CGCAAACAACGCCGGGACGCCCGGCAGGGGGTAGTCCTGGCAGAAGCCGGCATAAGTGAACGTACTCGGAAAGGTTATTTGGCCGCTCTACAAAAGCTGCTCATGCCAGTCATTGAGGGCGTGAGTTCTCCTTCCCAACTTGACGTTGCTGTTGCAGGTTCGCTTGAACAAGCGTGGGAGGATGGAGAGACGCTTTACGTCGTTTCCAATGCATTGTGTGGTCTCCATTTCTATGAACCTATGACGAGGCACTGCATTCCTAGCGCATGGCGCTTGTTTGCCACCTGGAGGAAATTAGAATGGCAGTCACGTGCACCTCCCCTCACTTGTAGCATTGTGAAAAGTCTAGCCAACTATGCACTTTCCCATGGAGACCTCTTTTTCGCTGCACTTTTGTGCCTTGGATTCTTTGGGTTGTTGAGGACAGGCGAGATGTTGGCATTGCGAGGAAGTGACATCCTTTGTAGTTCTAAGCAACTTATTCTTTCCTTGAAGGGGACGAAGTCTGGCCAGCGTAACTCAGCAGATGAGACAGTGGCGGTCGACGACCAGTTTTCTATCCTAATCTTGCAAACAGTACTTGATATCCTCACTACGCGCAATGCTCTTTCCCATCGTCTTTGGGAATTTTCAAATCAGAGTTTCAAGAATCACTTTGAGAGCTACATGAAGCGTTTTCACCTGACCCACCTTTTGTTTCGTCCCTACTCCCTCCGTAGGGGGGGGGCAACCCACCTCTTCCAGGTCTCAGGAAGTATGGAACTTGCTTTGGTTACGGGTCGTTGGACAAACAAAGTTGCGAGAGTCTACATTTCAGATGGCCTCAGTAAGCTTCCTGATTTGCTACTTGATTCTGATACCCGTCGTCTTCTTGCTTCATGGCATCCTCGCTGAAGCCAACGGAAGAGGGCGTCGTGGAAGAGGCGCAAGATGCGCTTAAATGCGCCGGTGGGCGCTGGTGAATGGACTTTGTTTTCATTCAACCGGTCAGTGGCTGCACGGCCACAGAAGACTTTGAACAGGTGACTGCAGGGTCACGTACAGTTTCTTAAAGCCTGAAAGGGCAATATGTTCAGAAAGAAGTCTTGAAGGACTTTGAAGTGAGTTGACGTAGTTTCACAGGTATTTGAACGCCTACACAGGCTGCGGTGTGAAAAGTTTCGAAGCCTATGTTTTCTTCAGAGACATAGGCTGATGTCCTTTTCTCACCGTGTTTCTTGGCTTAACAGCTTGACGGGCCACACCGCCCCCACCCTAAACAGGAAGAGGCGCAAGATGCGCTTAAATGCGCCGGTGGGCGCTGGTGAATGGACTTTGTTTTCATTCAACCGGTCAGTGGCTGCATGGCCACAGAAGACTTTGAACAGGTGACTGCAGGGTCACGTACAGTTTCTTAAAGCCTGAAAGGCAATATGTTCAGAAAGAAGTCTTGAAGGACTTTGAAGTGAGTTGACGTAGTTTCACAGGTATTTGAACGCCTACACAGGCTGCGGTGTGAAAAGTTTCGAAGCCTATATATATATATATATGTATAGCATCCCCGCCGTGAGAGCTAAATCTTTGGGGCCTGGCTCAGCATTGCTGAGCAGATGGCCATACTCTCCTAGGAAAACAACCCAAAGTGCAAATCCAAGAACGGTGATTGCAGACAAACGAGATTTTGTCCACAAGACCTCCAACAGGTCATGAATTGAGGATATTTTTTGGAGCCCAACCCTCCGGAGGTCTAACAGAGATTGGTCTTTCTGAAACAGTTCAGCTTGTACAGGACCCGCTTTGACGCGATCTCCGAAATGGTGCGGCCCATTCCGCGCGTTTTTGTGGGCGGACTCCATTTTTTTTCAGATGTCTTGTAGGGTTGTAAAAGGGAGGACGTGATGCTCTTGTCCTTGCTTTGCTGCAACCTCCGTCTTGTTGGAGCCTGTGATACCACTTCTTCGGCCAAGAGGTGGCGCGAAAGAAGCCCTGGTTGAGCGCAGCGCTTCAGTTGGTGAGATCGTTCCGAGAAAACCAGAGTTGCCCTCCAAGGATTCGGCTCAAGAGTTGTTTTGGGAGATTTCTGGGGGTCATCCCCATCATCCCGCGCAGATCTGGAATCTCTACTCATGCACAAAAGCGGATAGACTCGGATAGACGGAGAACTCAAGACTGCAACAAGGCTTGTCTTGACACAAAGCCATCAACAAAGCTTGGAATCGCGCTCGAGAACTCGTTTGCCACCTATGGGCAGTTCGGAGGCCCAAGAGCGCGCGAAAGAGAAGTACAGTAATCGATCCCGTTGTGATCGTTCGGCACTTCATCTGGACTTTGCATTGGTTGCGGCATGGTGGTCGAAAAGGTGGTGTTGGAGCACATGGTTGGAGAACCTTCCTTGGGGCAGCTGGTGGGCGCACGACAACGACACTGCTGCACGATGGTGGTTGACACCTGTGTCTTGCTGGAATGAGAGTTCAATCGTTCAACTTTCACCTCCAGGACAGTGGCGGTGTGCGGAAAATAAAAACCGGTCCGTGGCCTTCACGCAACAACAAACATGACCAATTTTTTGCACGCGTATTGCTGCCAGTCATGGCAGAGAATGCGAAGATCAGCCACTGAATGAAGATATTATAAGTTTTCTGTAATCAAAAACTCAAAACTACCAAAAAAAACAACAACACAAAACACAAAAACGCCCAAAAAACAACACCAGACCGACCAAACCAGGAAATCGCACAGATCTTGGAGCGCCCGCCTCAACCGAAATCAAATTCTTTGCCCTCGACGACTTCCAGCGCCATCCGTCGTATGGGCAAAATGCACTTAGGGTGATCAAGTCTGACTGACTCGAAACGGCTAGTGCCCAACGACTTGGCCTGCATGTTCGAATGTCTCCATTCATATTCACCTGCACGCAAACTGAAGCGTTGAAAAGAAACATTTTTCACTTGGCTGAACAAGTTCTGCTGTGCAAAAGTGAATGGAATGACAACGCGAGGGAGTGCACTTGCCCACGTTTCGTTTTGGAGCGGCTTGTGCTTTCGGATTGAGCGGCCAAGGCGCAAGTGGCTGAGTTGAAGGACGAGGCCAATGAGTGGCCGATCATGCTGCAACTGCATTTCGGGAGCCATCAAGGGCGTGTAAAACTTTCATGAACATACAATGAAATAAGATGTGCATGGCTGTCAAGTTGCATTTCACTAAGTCACATGCTGCGCAGGCCCAAACATTGTGCAAAAAGTGGACGCACACGTAAAAAAACTAAAGTTTTGAAGTTTTGAACAAGTGCAAGGCCGTACCATCTGTTCTTGTGGCATGTGCGAAGTTTGGACGCATTTTGCCAAAACGTTGTGGTTTGACAAAGACGGAGGGGCAAGGTCCGACAAGTCGATGAGTGTTCAAGCGGTTGAAAGAAAGCAAAGGTTGCAAAGCATCCAAGCTGGAATGACCGGCGGGTGTGACGAGAGCGATGCTCACCCGGCATTTGCCGAATCCATTGCTTGGAACAACGCCTCACACGATCAAAAGGCCGAAGTGGGTTGGAGAACCTTTCTCATTCAGATTTGGATCGTGTAATGCTTGTTTGTGCCCCCAGTTTTGGAGTTCCTTTTCAGTAATGAAACGAGTTGTGTTCTTGACGGGGAAATCGTTGGCTGCTGCAGAAATGAAGCACACGTGGCGCTCAGTTCACGCCAACGATGGAACTTTGCGAGAATGTGCACAGGTCGGTGTAACACCGTGGAGCATTGCCACTGCCCCTGTAGGGCTACTAGGAACGTTTTTCAAACAAGCACTGGGCGGCTCAACTTTCAAGGTTCGAAGCGGGATAGGGTTCCATTTTCGAGGTTTAACCCGAAGACGATTCATGATGAATGATGAGGCTCATCAAAACATTCAGGACGAACATCAACTCCGAAACAACATACTTGTCACTTGTCCGATTGACGGCTCAAGCCCATTGCAGTAGGGCTGCAAACATATCAACAATTTCCGAATGAAATTCCTTTGGAAGCGCTGGATGAAAATTCCGAGATCACAGTGTTTAGAAGTAGTTTCTTCATTTGGGGAATGATGACGGCTATTTCTTGCACCCGCAGACACATGTCTTTGAAACTTTCACCCTCCAGCCCGTGTTGAAAACAAGACACATCAAAAACACATAACTGACTTTCTGGGGATTGCTGCGCCGGCAACAGGCTGTGGAACAATTGAGAATGGAGAGGGGGATGAGCGTGATCACCCAAATCGTTGTTTTGTGTTGTGTGGGAGTTGCCCGGGTGACACCTTGACAGCAGTATGCTTTAACCGGCTTTACCGGAGTACAGGAGGATGAGAGGGTGCACAGTGGGGGCCCAGGACACTCACAAGGGAATGTATCTTGGTCAGCATGCCATACATGTCTCCTGACTAATTTAATGGGAGCATATGATGCTTGCGGGCTCATTCCCATTCTTGGGTGCAGGAGGACCTCCAAAAAACCGGTATATCGTCAAAACACGGTAAAACATGATGCAATCGGGCAAGTCAGGCAGACCGGTGGATGTGGTGGGATGTGGAATTCGTGCAAACATGAAACAGGTCCCGCTGGAGTCTTTGAAAAATATTCTGCACATAGGTCGACTGACCCATGGAAAGGTCATTTTCACAGGCGGTATGTTTCAAATCCTCAGGGATTTTAGTTATTGAAGAAATACCAAGTGCTTTGGCGGCCCAGGAAATGGTAATACCAAGCCCTGATGCTGGGGCGCCTTCAAATTTAGATTTGTTGGAATGAAGATCATCACGGGACAGCAGTGACGATCCGTTAATCTACTGAAGAGCGACTCCTTCAGATGGTTTCAACCTGATTTCAACCCCTTGAGTTTTCAACCTCGTTTCACATTCCTATTTTTTGATATGGTATACCTAGTATTTCATGTGCATTTTCCCAGACATGTCGTGGAGAATGACTGCTAATGGTGCGAAGCTGCCTGGTGCCCCCTCGAAACCCCGAAACCTGCAGGCGACGCCCGAGTGGCGCGATGCCTGTGCCAGCGGCCTAGAGGATCCCAAAGGTTTTTGGAATGAAGCTGAGGTATTGGGAATCCAGTGTTTGAAACATGTCGAGAACACACACACACACATTCAGCCATTGAGGGCAAAAAACTTGGACGACTACAGAAACTATCGCACTTGAGCAGATTCTCACGCAGCAAGTGTGAAACATTGCTTGAAACCGATCCGCTGGTCCGGTTTGTATTGTCTATCCCTTCCTTCTTGGCCTTTCCTTCGTCCCCCATCACAGAAACTGGGGGCGTGAGGTGCGGAGCGCCCGACAACCTTTATGTCGGCCGGCAGTGCGCCCGTGAGACTCGTTCCCGCAGTGGTTGCACAAAGATTTTCTGTGAAATTCCAGGTCAGCTGGTGAAGATTCTTCAGGGCACTGACACTCACAAGAACGAACATGAATCTCGAAATCCATTTGTAGAGGAAACCAAGTAGTGCTGTTTGGCGTTCTCGTGCGCACGCTACGCGACCCATACCTCTCACAAAGGCTCGGAAACCTTGAAAAATTACTAGGCCGTTTCCAAAGTCAAAGGAGCTCGGCCTCCATCCTCTTCCATGATGGTTTCCAGTGATGCCAGGTACACTGCTGTGACTGACCTCCGGGGCATGTTGAGGGAGGCCTCCGCTGTCGGGCGTCCTAAGCCATTTAAGAGAAGACCCTGAAACAAGTATGGCTGTGGCTCACAACCCCAATACAGGATGGCTTACTTTCTTCTTTTGCGAGTCCAGACAATGGTCCAAGCGTGGGGAGTCATGTTTTCCACGAGAAGAGTCTGCAGATCATTCAGACCAGACCTAGATATACCCAGATAAACATCACCCGCACTTGGCATGAGCACACCGTCATGCCAGGGGAAACATGTCAATACTCATCCCTCAACCCAAAACACCAGTGACCAGTCGTGTGCGGTTTACTTCTGACTTGCCAAAAAGGAAGCCACCTTGTGGTGCAAGGACGCTACTAGTAGGCTCCTGGCCTTACTACTAGGAACAAGGACGCTCCTAGGAGCAAAGGTCCAGTGACGCCATTTACCCTGCCTTTGGGCGAGGGACTTCATCGCTTAGGCGAAGTTTGACTTCGTCGTGGTGGATTTGCTCTTTGGTTCAATTGTGAAGTCACCAAGCTGGAGCCGGTCGGGGTTCGAAGCAGACTTCAAAGTGAGCTTCAACGGTTCCTTTTTGAGACTTCAAACGTTTGAGCCTAAGACTCCCCAGATTCTTGTCAACTTGGTGGTTGATCACACAATTTCCGGAGGGCGCTGTGGTTTGAGCGTTCCAACAATCCAGTTGATCGGGGATGGACAGCGTAAAACTTCCCGTTCAAGTCATAAGTGGTCCCTGCAGGTCGCTGAGAACGTGGTTCTGGCAGTGCCTACACAGATGTTTGAGTGCAGATGTTTTTCTTTATTTTTTATATAATGCTTACTGTATATAGAGTATTTTTCTCTTAGGGGAGTTCTCCTGAAAGAAGGAAGTCCAAGATCGGGAAACGGACATGAACACATAGTCAAATCCCGGTGTGAGGGCAGAATGTGTGACCCCATGCTGATCAGTACAAACAGACGCTGGATCATCCACACCGGAGTGAAAGGGGGTCATCTTGATGTTTTCCCCCCCCAAAGCCGCCGACTTGCTTGACCGGCTCGAAGTTGTGGAACGTAGAACTACGAGGATGCATTTCTTAGACTAACTCAAAGATGTTTTTGGCCTTTAAAAGCAGTCTCTTACATTACTTTAGAAAAAACGAAGAAGTCGCCTTAGAGTCAGATTGATAGAATCACATCCAGCGCCACATCCACGTTCGCATCCATGGCCACCTGGCGGAGGCGTGGCTGCCGTCCTGGCAAAGCAGTGGTTTGTGGGTTGTTGTTGTTTGTTTGTTTGTTTGTTTGTTTGTTTGCTTGTTTTTTCACAGCGCAGATTTTGGACACGCATATATCGTTCAGAAACTACAGACATATTCACAACTACGGAATTTTACACCGATGTTCCATGGCTTGATACAGTGCCTGTGTCCGCTCATCATGAACTTGCAAATATAATGCAGACACTCCATGACTCTGGAGCATCATCCATACTACATTGGAGCTGCATGTGCAGTAGTTTGGCAGGATGCCATCTTCCACAGTTACAAAAGAATTGTAATTCCATAGCAACACCAAGTCCATTTCTTTTGCGAGAGCTCATCAGTCCTTACTCGTATCGAAGCCAAGGTTCGTTGGGCTAGCGCTGATTTTGGATGTTGCATGGGCAGATGAGACGATGTCCAGCTTGGGCATTGGCGCGGCCAGGGTCTCAAGCGATACCCGTGTGCCCAATGGCCCCCCATGGTTCTCCATGGGGCAGACGAGGTCGTTCTTGTAATCGGGCCAGATCCAGCGAAAACCAGCGCTGGTTGGTCCCTCTGGTGCTTTTACGACCAAGGCTTCTTCCTTCGCACCTCAACACTTTGAAGTCATGGTTCTTGAGATACTGTGAGCACCTTGCATGAAAGACATGTTTGAACATAGAGCTTGGGCAGTGGAAAGGTGTCCACCTTTCCGTCTAATGAATCTAACGATTTCAGATACTGTAACCAAACAGGTGTGTGGTTTATGTATACATAGGGAAAACATGACACAAAGGGGGTTCCGGAGAGTCTTTTGCCATGTTGCCTGTTATTTTTCTCGTTGATGTTCTATCATGCTGTTCCTTGCTGTTGATTTTTTTTGCTTGACTGATCTTGGCAAAAGTTGATGCTAGAATTAGCTTGTTAAAGCCTTTTCTCCCTACCGAATATCAATGACACCAGAACAAGTATGAGCGACACCCGGATACCAAGTGACACCAAATGTTGCCGTATGATATTTTCAACAGTTTTGTCCTGTGACCCAAACCTGAAGACTTCTAGGCACAACTCATCTACCCCGGAAACTCCGCCGCTGAAAAGCACTTCGCCGCCCAAACTCCGAGGACTCGCGCCTGGCGCAGCTCTTCGCGGCCGCGGAGAGCGACGGTGACGGGGTGCTGACGGCCGAGGAGCTGAGTGGCTTTGTGCCTCGGTGGCTGATCGATCGAGAGAAAAGGACGGAGAAAAATCCCGTGATGGGGTGTTTGGGGTGATGGGATCGGAGAAGGAAAGGGGAGGGATTTGTTGGGTTTGGGAGCGTGTGGGAAGGGGGGAGGGGGAACACTTGCGATGGGAGAAGAGGAGGGTATGGTTGGGTTAGGGTTGCTAGTAGACGACAAGGGACCGTTCTCGCAGCATGCAGTATGTTGCAGAGATGATTCTCGTTGTAGGTTACAGTAGTAGGTTGGTCGAGTTCAGCCAGTCCACGAGAATCTGCAACAAACGGTGGGGATATTCCTTGTTAAAATAAGGTTATATTTTGAGTTGCATTCAGGGATGGACTGTTTCAATCACTGATGCTTGTTTGGTGGTTACAACGAGCAATTCTTGCCGTCCCAGAGTTGGGATGCTTTCGAACTTCAATCTTTTGTTACTGAATTCCCACAGAGTAGCTGACTTTCGCAGAAGCTTGGAACCACAAGAATTTGCTGTGCCGACAGGGTCCTTCCCTCGTACCCTTTTCCTTCCCAGGAAACGAGTGCCCAAGAGGAGCTAAAGAACTTTTGGCTCATGGCGCCTTGAAACTGTGGAGAGATGGGCAGACGGGTGGTGCCGGTGGTGCGTTGGCTTGGAGAAGACCAGCAGAGCCACAGGGCGATCGCCTCTGTGGATTCACCTTCCTACGATCGCCAGAAATCAGTTCCAGAATGCTTGCGAGGCTCCCCAACCAGCCCTAAAAATCTAGGAACCAAATCATTTGTGCGAGCACTTCTTCAAGGAAGCTCTCAGGCGGGGGAGCTTCCTTGAAGAAGCGTAAGCTATCCTCTGTCCAGTCACTAGAGCTATCCTCTGTCCCTTACTCAAAAAAGAAGGAGCGGGCAGAAAAAATTACTCTAAGAAAAAACAGTCACTGGCCAACCGCCTCAGATGCGATCCTTCTGCCTCGAGGCGCCCTTTGAAGCAGCGCTTTACCCGGAAGAGAACTGCCAGGGGCAGCCTCTCAACATTGATGCCTCCAGTGGCGTGGTTTCATTGAAGCATGAGGGGAGTCTGCGGAGCTTAGTTAGACTAAGCTAAGTCTAAGTCTTGTGGATCCCTTTTCCGAAAAGCCACGCGACCGTCCAAGTTCATGTGGCGTGCGTGGAACTTCGAAGCCGCCAAAGCCAGAGATGGAATCGAATCTTTGCCTTTCTTTGCCAGATTTTTGGTTGTTGCCAGGTTCTTTTTGGGATGTCGAATGTGGGGGTGTCGAGCTGGGTATCAGCTGGGGATCTGTGGTTTTCAGCCTCGAACCACTTCGCCATGGCACGCGGAGGGTTCTCCAGCACACCAAACGACACTCACTCCCTGAACGAAATCATAGTGGAATCCTGGATGGCATGGCTCCCAAGACTCGGATGACTCCCAACACAAATCACTCCAAAGACCGAAGAGGTGCTGGTTTTCTTTTCGTTCAGGTGATTTCTGGCGATTTCCGGCGACCGCCGCAAAGAGCGCCGTCTCTGAGGCTCAGAAGACCGGTGCCAGGAGTGCTTCGATGCCGCTAGTCCTGGAGTGATGCCGAGCCGGTCGATGCCGGAGCTGGGGGGCATTCCAAAGAGGTCAAAGAGGTGAAACATCCAACTTGGAAGCTGAGAATCTGACCAGGAAAACCTTGGAGCATCTCCTTTCATGTTGAAACTTTGCTGGTCTGTTGACAGGACTGCACATGATCCTCCCTCCAAGCCACAAATAGCACGTCGTCAACTCGATAGGTGTGCGATGTTTTCGTTTGCAAACAGAACCAAGCTGTTTTCAGGTCTTTCGGCATCAGCTCTTTCTCGAACGCTTTCGACCGAACTGCTGGAGAGCTAGCAGCATCCCACCTAAAGCATCGTTCCCCTTGAAGGATTCCAGATTGCCATCCCCTCTCCTACCCCGTCCCAGTCCATTCCACCGGTTTGGAAGGTGCCAAGGGTGCCATTCTTTTGCGCGGAAAGGGTATCACCGGTGTCGAGTGCATCTCCGGAGTGCGTGCGAAGATGGGTTCCTTGCTCCTAGTAGCGATGCCCTTTGTTCCTAGTAGCTTCTTGCTCCTAGTAGGGCCAGGAGCCCCTAGTAGCGTCCTTGCTCGTGCGTGCGCATGAGGTTTGTGGCAAGAGCTTCCCTGACGGCACTCCGATGGCCACGGCGAACGCCTCCCGAGCCTCTGGCTTCGCGGCTCGGCCGAAGGAAGATGGGACGGGACAGGATGGGTTTCCCGGCCTTGGCCGATCCGACGGTTCGGTCGGGACGTTTTCATCGGTCGGAACGGTCGGAACGGAAAGTCTTTCTTCTTGCCTCGGGACGTCGCCCTAAGTACTTCGCCAAGAATCCGTTTTGCAAGTGCATTTGTCGGGAATTGCCAGGTATCCTCATGCGTTTCTCAGACCTGGAGAACTGCCCAAGCTTTTTTGGTTGTAGGTCTTGCCTCCTTTGATGCCGGCTGGGATGCTTTGCGAAAGCAGGTTAAGGTTAAGGCCAGTTTGAAAACAGCTGGTTTAGCTGCAGGATGCTGCAGGGCTGATTTGGCCAAAGACGGCTTCAAGGGTCCTCCCTGGAAATGGTGCACCTATGCATTTGAAGGCACTAGAAGGCACTGAAAGGGTAGTAGAAGCGTGCAAAGAGATCTGGGGGTGCTGAGGGTGAACGGAGTGCAGCAAACGTTTTTTTTCACGTCATCGAGTTGGCAGAACCCTCGGTGCCACCCGCGAGCGCCGACCACCGGCCCGGAGCGCAGGTCTCGCAGGTCCGATCCTTGAAGGTGACGAAGGGCGCGCCTCGGCCGAGGCGTTCGGAAGGCGTTCGGTCCCAGGCGTTCGGCTGGGATGTGGAGTCTGAGAAAGCATCGCAAAGCCTTTCACCCCTGGGTCTTGAGTGGAATTTTGTGGTGCAACCTTGGAAGGGGGGTCAGGTCAAGTTTGGGTGTCGGAAGGGAAGCGATGGTGAGATTGTAGATGAACGAATTCCCAGAAAACTGGCCTACTGAGGTTGCTAGCACCCGAGATCCCATCCTTTTATTATTGTTTATTCATGGCAACAGGCAACGGGCTTTGTGAAGGTGTGTGACAAAGGTAGGGGTGTAAAAATGCCCTATGACCTAGACCTATGACCTAGTGACCTCACTCATCAACTGCACCAAGGCCGTGCACGTCTCATCCACCTTCTGCTTTGGCAGCTACAACTTCGGCCTGAACTTCACAGGTCGCAGCTGCGCAGCTCGTGAGAGATGGGAGAACGTTCCACGCAGCTGGACCGTCCTGCTGGACCGTCCCATGAATGGGCTCTTTTGGGTTGTGACAAGGAGGTTTAGTAAGAATGCTCCTAGTAGCGATGCCAGGAGCCCCGAACGTAGCTTCTTGTTACTAGTAGTTTCAATGGTTTCACTCTCTTGGAATATGATATGGGCCATATGGGCCATATGAGTGTTTGATGATGTATATCATTCGCCCTGTTGGACTATCATGTGGCGACTTGATGACTTTGCACCTTGGTGAGAAGACCGTGAGACCGAAGACTTTATTGGTGTTTTGGTTAGTCAACCATCATTTGGTATAGATCAGTGATCGGATCCACCCAATGTATACTTTGTCCACCCTCCATCGCCTGGGCAGGTGGCCGGGTCTTTGGGGAGCAGGACAATTGCGTGAGCTTCCAGGCTCTGTAGTGGGACGGATGGAGAGCGGCGTTGTGCGATGATGGGGAGTGAGGGAATGAATGACGGATGATGGGGGACACATGAATGAATGACAGATCTGCAGTCATTTTGTTGATAGAAGATGTGTCAGTGGAGAGGGTAGTGTAGGTCACTGGTTCCCCACAGTACTGAAATTCACACATACGTAAGACTGATGGGGCCCATGTAACTGGAATTTTGGCCCCAGCACGTCCTTCAATAAGACCACAACCGCCTTCTTGGCAGGTCAAAGTTTGCATGCAAGCTTTGGTTCCTCTGCATGATTCTTCCATCAGGTACCACTTGCAAGTCACTGCCTCAAGCATTTCTCGAGGAGCCAGCTCATGTGGGTGCTGTGCCTCCCTCGATCCTGGAGACGGTCACTGGGCGGTCATCGACTCACATCTTCGGTCCAAGACCGAAATCTCAAGACTACTGGGGGCTCCTGGCATCGCTGCGAACGGAACAAGAAGCTACGTTCGGGGCTCCTGGCCTTACTACTAGACCTCTTTGGCTGATTTCCCAAGACCTCATAGTTTTTCAGATTTGAGCGAGGAGTGCTGAGCGGTGGGAGTCCTGGTGTCCCTCGGATTCTGAGATGGAAATCCCAGCAAATCATGTGAGACTTTGGATGAAGACGCAGTATCGAACATTGGCCTTTTGTGTGTTCAAGTTGGTTTTGGTGATGCAGCAGAGGCTGCTGGGCCATGCCGTGCTGGGCCCACTATTTTCTCATACTGCCATTTGTTGCAAGGATCATTATCATTGGGACACAGAATGAATCAAGAAAGTCATTTCGATCATGGCTTTTGCCTTAATGGAATCCACGGAGTTTCCTGGGCAGGTGTCTGGTGTCTGGTATAGATGCCAGGTGTGTGTAGTTGAGAAGGGTTACAGTATGTGTTACCCTTTGACCTTGACCAGAAGGGCCGTGACAGGTTCGTTGTTTGGCTGTGTGCTTCACCAAGGTTTCCCTCTACTTCCTGAAGGAGGCCCGCGTGCGTGGCTGGGACTTCAACATCTCTACTCTAGCCTGAAACCAGCTGTAGAATTGCAGGGGGAAAGATTCGGCCAAATGCTATGTTTTCCTGGGAGGGTCTTTGACCCAAGAGCCAACTTGCTACTTTGCCTTTCTTCAAACCTTGCTTCCAACACCTCATGCCGAAGTGTGCCTTGGAATAGCCTGACTCCCCCAAGTTCGCAGAACCTGATAAAGGCCTGTCCACCCACCTGCCCAACCGTATCTCGTTCCTGGAGATCTTGCCTGAAATTACCTAGCTCGGATAACCTACCTTTGGTTCCTAGATCTGGTGCTCTTCACTGGTGTCACACTCGATATCGAAGCTCTTCCCATCACACACCTAGATATTGTTATCCTGCCACGGAACCACCTTTATTACCACAGCAAGCCGAAATCTTCCGTGTAGTAACCAAGCATTTGTCGACATTCACACAACAACATGTCTACCCATTTTGTAAACCTTGGGATTCCATCAACAGAATACAGTTGGCATTTCCAGCAGACCTGTACTTCCTAACTATGCAAGCCCTGCGCAATACGTCCTTGATCAGAACCAGGACCCACCATTTACGAATCATCATCCGCTCAACCTTCAAATAGTCATTGATGAACTCCCGGAGATACCATTTCACCAACAAGGGCTTATCAAGCCAACATTTGTAGCCAACTCAAAAAAGGCACAGTAGACGGTCTCCAGGATCCTTTTCTGGATTGGGCCATCAACCGGGCACAGGATTGCATAGATCGCATTGGGAACATACTGCCTTCTTGCCATGCTCTGACATGACAGAATCATTTTTGCCTTGTCCATCCTGCATAAGTATAATTGATTATTTTCTTTATTCTTATTCAGGGCTTCGATACTACTGCTTAGCCGTAAGGGGCCTCTGGGAAGCGAACGGATTCGCAGGTGGTGAGTACGTGCCCACCTTTTTTTTGTTGCACGAAGCCTTCCATTCGGACCGACCGACCGCACGCCCTCGCAGGACGCGGCCGACTTCGACCAGGTGCTTGAGCTTCACGAGGCGCCGGATCTTCAGCCGGGTGGCCCAGGAGGGAAAGCGGCGAGAAGGGAGGAAAGGTCGTGATGGAAGAGAGGATTTGAACATCTCACATTAGCTTCCTGGCCTTACTACCAGGAGCAAGGACGCTTCTAGGGGCTCCTGGCCTTACTACTAGGAGCAAGGACACTACTAGGAGCTTTGTGGGCCACCGTGCTGGTGCGATGCAACAAGGGAGTGGACAAGTGGACAAGATTGTGAGGACTTGCTTCAGGTTGCGGTGCAGGACAATCGGAGCTCGATTGTTACTTGTTTGCTATAACAATAAATGAACCAGGCCAGACTTTGTATAAGACGTGTTGCTTTCCTTTCTGGGTTCCAGATCAATTTTAAGCCAAGCTCAAGACTATTTTTTGACATCTTAGAGTGGGTGTTGTGTTTCTTTTGCTTTGGGGCGCCACGGTGCTACAGCCTGTAGGCTGGTGCCCACATCCAGCAAACCTACCTTTTTCTTTTGTTTTGGCACGTAACTTATAAGACCGACATAAAGACCGTTCTTCTTTCTTTCCTTGTTTGTTTTTTTTCTTTTGCTCCTTTATTCTTTCCTTGCCTTGTTTCATGTTTGTCTTTAGACCTCCTTCAAGTCCCCCACAAGTTGCAGTCAACAGCTTGACGAGCCAACGATTTCGGTCACATCTGTTGCTTTTCAGCCGGGACTGGCAGGCGCTCGGGTCTCTTTGAGGCGGCTGACCTGAACAGAGCCGGGGATCTCAATGGAGGGCCTGTGCAGTAGTCTGGGTGGGTTGAAGGGCCTGAGCTGTAGAAAACGGGCTTCGTAAAGGTGAAGATGTTTGAGGATTTGGCAGTCACAAAGTAGATGGGTCTTTCTGACTTTCTGGATGAACATGGCTTCCAACAGGAAAAGGCATGTTGCACCATCAATAGAATCTCCATGCCCATTCTTGCAGGTGAGGTGTTGACCGGACATTTCAGGCAAGACGATCTCAGTATCAGTATTAGTATGCAATCGAAGGTCACACACTCCCAGTTGAGTGACTGAGTTGCTCCCACGAAGCAAAGGAAGAACTCAGCCTGGGACTTGAGAAGCGACTGGTAAAATTTGTATGGATTTTTTTTGACATCCTTCCCTCCCCCAAAAAATGGATTCACGATGGAATCCAGCTGCTGTTTGCTGATGTGACCATCGCACCAATCACGGCGACGAGCTCGCTCCACCCAGGACCAGCTCCTCTCCGTGAGCGAGTATGCGAGCGCGCTGCAAGCGGACCTCGCGCCTCGGAGATGTTGGTGGGTGAAATCACCCAATCTGACGGAGCAGACTGTGGAGGACGATATCGAAAGTTTGCTCCTTTGGCCAAGTGATGGAGGGGCTTCTGTTCTTATCAGCTTTGTTGTCCCCGAGGCCCAGAAAGCCGCCACGGAGGCTTTCATGGGCTCCGCCGCGATGGAGGTGGGAGAATCTAACGGACCTGGGTCTGGGTGACTGGGGTCTGGAGTGGAGCGAGCAAGTTACGTGCGAGTTGTTGGTTTGAGGGGTCTTTTGCTCAGTTCTTCATAATTCTTTCTGTATATTCTTCCTGGGTAGGTTAGATGGGGCCTGCATAGGTGGTCCTCTTCAGCATGATCCGACTTTGGCCCCGCGAAATGGAGGGTGGTACAAGCCGTAGCTGCCATGGCAGGCTGCTGCGGAGGCGGCCCAGGGCCCTGCGTGGTCGGACAACCACACGATGGAGCAGGTGGTGTGGTGGGACAGTGGTACTCAACATGTAAAAGCCTGAGAACCAAGAACCCGCAAGGCTTTCGTTGATTCTTTGGATGTGAGTGAATCAGTGATATATATATATATATTTTCGGAACTGATTGGAGTTTCACATTGGAGTTCTTACAAGAAGCAGGAACACACTTTGTGATCGTTCAGAGCTTTATGATCACCCTTGCACGAGGTGCTGGCAGCGGAGGAGTTTGGAGAGAGCTACGAGGCGCAACTGCGCAGCTGTCTGCTGAGCACAGGGCTGGTGTTTTCACTAGGGGTGTTCCCACAGATGGTGTTTTACAGGGTGAATGCTGAATCCGTGCTGAAAAAGAGGCACTCTGACTCAGACTCATGCAGTCTGTGAACCATGATTGATTAGAGCATCCTTGAGCAAACTTCTCGATCCTCACCTCTTTGGTCGTCATTTAGAGTTTCTCCAACCAGAACCAATCGTTATTCGATTCACACTGACTTCTCAAAACAGTCTTTTTGCACGGGTTGTCCACATGGTCGTCTGCGCGTGCGCAATCGGTGAGGGCCGGTGAAGGGGGCTCAGTTGAGCCCACGGAAGTGGTATTTTATTAGGGTTGTTGAAGGCACGCCAAGGAATGGAGATGTGTCTGTCTAACAGGCCCTTGATGGTTTGGGTTTCTTTGGACTTCCAACATGCGTACCCTCTACGTAGCTGCAGCTTCGAGTCGAGCACTATGGGGTCACGTACAACCTCATTGTTGGTAGCGAAAGACACATGACCCGCAAAGTGGGTAGAACAGTAGAAGTGAGCATTCCTCTGCGTTTCGCATTTCAACTGTTTATAGACCCTGTTGGGAAGACTAGGGAGCCCCCCCAAAAAAATCACAGCATTGAGTATGATGTCTTCTTTAAAACCAGACCTCTCAGCGGTCCTCTCAGGAGGCGAAGCGGAACCCGGAAGTAGGGACCATCACCGAGCCGCCTCCGCTGGTGGTGAACGGCCGCTGGACGAAATTGAAGGGGAAGGGAAGGTTGGGGTCTGCTCTCCTGTATAGCGGAAGATAGAACACTCAAATTAATAGGTGGGTGAAGAATGTGTTCTCATATTGGTTGGCTACGAGCTGCCAGTCATTGGTCAACCGCAGCTCTTGCTTCACCGAAGTCATCCCATCTGACAGCTCATGTGTCGTCAGAGGAGGTCACTTATGACAATGCAGGACCGACTCTTGCCATCACTGGCTTCGCTGCTTGGATCGGAGTCCAAAGTTCAAAAAACAGTCATGAGACATTTATAGACTACTCCAAGATGTGAAAGTCGATGCGTTTTGATAAATTGTGCGTCCCAGCTTGGGGAAAGATTTTTGGAAGTCGATGCAAAGTTGCGTCCTGCTGGTGTTTAGCAGATAGACTTTTTCTCAGAAGATGACTTTTCCATGCACATAGTGCACACCAGAAATCAAATAAAGCCGCCACTAGGTTGCGAACTGGTTGTCGCAAAGCGATCGCTGTTGGTGTTCTTACTTCAAGTAGAGGCAGTGGTACCTGTGTGCGCTTTGGAGCCTGGGTTTGTGCGCATTGAAGGCTCAGCCATCGAAGGCAGCTGCATAGGAAAGGGAATAAGGCAAAATCCATTTGATGGTCGTGGCTTGACCATTTGCTTACTTGAGCGTGTGTCTTGAATCCCTATTTTACCACAGCAGCAGCAGCAGCAGGAGCTGCTTCAGGATTCCTTGCCGCAGCATGATTTAGATCATCCAGTTTCTGGTGAGGTTGCGGCGAATCCTGAATCAGGCCGCAGCCAGAAATCCTGAATCAGGCCGCGGCAAGGAATCCTGAATCAGGCTGCTGCCACAAATCCTCGACAGAGTTGGTTGCTGTGGTTATGTAGGGATTCAAGACACATGCTCAAGTCAGCCAATGATCAAACCACAACCATCACGAAGCCACACTGGAGCATGCACATGGATTAGTATCAGTGCTTTGGGGAACCGTCGTTTTGGTGGAGTGGATCATACGGCGTCCCATGGTGAACTCAGTCAAGCAACATACAATTTCCTTCGTTTCCTGATCATTGTCGGATGTGCGTCCACATGCTGGAATACAAGATTCTGAGGCGTTCAAGTAGGATTAAACGATAGAAACAAACAGTTTTATCGCTGCGTCCTGATGGTGATTTACATGTTTTTGCATTGACTTGTTTGACTTCTTGAATGCGCGGCGTCTCATGTGGAACTGGCAATTGCTTTGACTTCTGCGGACCGGTGTATGTCTCAAGACCAACAAGGCAGCGAGATGTGCCAAAGACCCTTGGAGGAATGGATGAGGAGTTCGCTCAAGGCAGCGAGCTCGCTTCCTTCCTCCAACTGGGTCAGACTTGTTGGATCTGAAAGCGGTTGACTAGGTGCTGCAAGACCTCGCCCAACGAGGTGTTTGACCGAGAAACGAACATCTTGGGCCACAAGCCAACCCTAAGCATGCCATGTTGCAACATGTTGCAACGAATCATTGCTGTACACTGTAGATTTGTGACTTCCATGATAAACTCATTTCCTCACACCCAAATGCCCAAAGGCACCTGTTTCATGAGCAGGCTGCACCCTGACAGGTTCTTGAGCACTGTTTTTCTGGCGATTCTAATTTGGTGTTTGCAATCGCCTCGCAGATCTGTCCAGATCCGCACGAACCCATGAGAATCGATGACTCGTGCGAGGCCACGTCGTCGTTCAGGGAGCTCGGAGACCCAGTGGTGTTGCCGTTGGCGACTGGTTTGGTGGCCATCGCTACTAGGTTGGAGGCCATCGCTACTAGGGTGGGTTGAGTGCGCGGTTCAATGGCTGTCAGTTGTGAAGAACCAATAGGAAGCTTCGGCTGAACGTGGGCCAGGTTTTAAAGCTCAGGCATCAAAAAATACTCATGTGTGATTAAGCATTGGATGCAGCGACCTCAGAATTTGATCTACTGCCCATTACCAAGAAAAGTGGAACCAGTAGGAAGCCCTCCTTCTGCAAGATGACCGTATCCATAGAGATCCTGTCGAAACCTTTGCAGTTGACTTTTGTTTTGACTGGCATGTCCAAACAATTTTTCACCAGTCCCTCCCAGACTTCCCTAGCACTTCAGCCGGGTCCTGCCTCTGGTCCTGTTTGCGAGGGAGGCTCCACTGCTCCAGTGGAGTTTGGCAGAGTGGACGATGAGAGCCGAGTGGACGGAAAGTTCAGCTACTACGACCCGCAGAATGGAGGTGGCTGGTTTGGTGATGGGGTTTGGTGGGCAAGTGGGCAGCATAGGCAGCACAGTTGGTCCAATACAGTGCGGAAAATGAGGCAAAGTGCTTGTTTGTTACCGGCTGGCCAGTGGCCGAGTGTGGCCGCGGCCAGCCCATTGTAAATGGTTGCTAATTTCGTGTAATGCCCGTGACTCCTGACCTGGAGGCACGGATGGACAAACCGCCATGCAAAGCCAAGAGTTGCGGCGATAGTAGAACTCCCCCTTTGTCATGTTTGTTGACTCCTTGCTTCATTCGACTCTGCTTGATGACGGACTTTAGATGATATCATCATATCTCGCATCACAAGTTTCCCCAGATCCTTCTGATGCACGGTTGGATGTTCCTGGAAGGTGAAGAACCTCCAATCCTTGTGGTCTTCTAGAGGTTTTGGTTTTGCTTCCATTTACCACTGGAACATAGTGGCAGGGGCACCAGCTTGAGTTCCGACTTTCTGACCAAATCGGAGCAGTCTCCCGGCCTCCAATGCGCCCCCCCCTGTGGACGGCTCCTCCACTGGCGGGTTTGGCGGATGGGGCTCTCGGCCGGTTGAGGCGAAGTCATGATGTGCACCGAGGGGAAGCTGCCGCTGGGACGGCATTCGGAGGTGGATTTCCACCTCTCGGACTTGAAGGGGACAAATACTGAAGAAGCCAGGATGGCTGAAGAACCCAGGACCGCAAAGCCAATCATATCTCAAGCCGCTGAGAACAAGCCACCCAACATCCACCATTATTGGATGATTTTGCAGCACTTGCCGCACAAGAGTGAGTTTCTTCCACGGCGGAGGGAGAGATTTTGCCCTTTCAGTGTGCAGGTATCATGCGGGCTTTTGCTACACTCCCTGCGGCCCGGCAGAGATATCCTGTGGCGGAAGAGGACACCCTTTGGAATTCCCCTTTCTCTGGCATGGGCTCGAGCGGGCGCTTCGATGTTTTGTCGTTCAGGGCCAGTTGAGGGACCGATAGTTCGGAATGCCTACTAGGAGCAAAGGGCATCGCTACGAACGGAGCAAGGACGCTACTAGGGCTCCTGGCCTTACTACTAAGAGCAAGGACGCTACTAGGAACTACTGCAGATGACCCAAGAAACACTTCTGGATGGCTGGTCGTGCGTGTACTGCGTACTGCTGGTGCCACAGAGCAGACCAATTGAGAGGTGCTTTCTTCAAAGGAGACTTGTCGACAGTCTATGAATGTCTATGATATGATCTCCCAATGAACAGTTTCACAAATTTCAACACTTATCACTTATCTATCTGTTTATCTACCTACCTATCATATCGATTTTGAGGTCTATGTGATTATTGATCTTTAAGGATTGTGATGGGCGAGATCTCCCTTGACTTCGTGGGGTTGACTGGTCGGGCAGCGTTTTTTCACCATACACAAACACGGTGAGCTCATGGGGCGGAAACCCAGCTGACCAAAGGTGACCGTTTGTGGGGTTTAGCAAGGACGCACCTAGGAGCAAAGGGCATCGCTACTAGGAGCAAAGACGCTACTAGGGGCTCCTGGCCCTACTATAGGAGCAAGAAGCTACTAGGAGCAAAGGGAATCGGCAGTCGGCTGGGCGGTGCGAAGGCCGAGTGGGCTATGACAACGAGGTCTTCAATGTTTGCTTCAAGACGCAGGGCATCCCAGTGTTGCGCGAGGGGAAACCACTCGGGGTTTGAATGAGGCAGAGGAGACCACTCGTTGTCCGTGAGAACCAGTGGCAGTTTCTTGGTGAAACCAACGCACTCACTTTAGACGGGGAGGTCATTTTTTTCCAAGCAGTTGCCTTCAATCTATGCAAGCCTGAAGTAGTATTTGGGTCAGAGGTCGGCCTGTCCGTGGCTTAATAGCACCAGGCAGACGGTTTTATTCAACTGGAAGAGTTTGAGATGGTGATTTGAATGAAGATCGCTTTTGAAGTAAAACTCACTCATCAAGATTTGCCGTAGAGTTCTGGGATCTCGCGATTCTTTGTGGCGATACTGTTCCATTGAAATCGATGCTTCTCGGGCCCCGTTGAATGTGGCCATTCGGTTTTTCATTTGTCAGCCATCGGGCCGTTCCGACCACCTGGTCTTCGAACACACTTGACCATTTTCTTTTTACTACCTGATCTCAGCCAACAAATTGACTTCCAAAAAACCCGACAAGAATGGCCTTCTCCTTCTCAAGCCGAATGGGCGGTGAGGAGTTTCCTGCACAACATCCCGACAAGTTCAGGAAAACACGTGCGACTCCCGATGTCCTATGCAATATGATAAGAACTCCAGTAGCAAGTAGAACGTCTCCAAAGAAGCATTCAGATTCCTTTTCCTTTTGAAACAACCTTTGAGGCCTCGTCCCTCCTGTCCCCTCCTGCGTCCATCGTGCGTCCATCTTGCCCCTCGTCTGACGCGACCAGTGGAGGACTTGCCCGAGTGGCTATCAAGAGATTGCTGGAGGGATCTGCAAGGAAAAAGGCGATCTGAAAAGATCTGGGGAAAGGAACAGTGCGAGGAAAAGAACTGGGAAAAGGAAAAGGACATGGGAGAAGTGGACGTCAAGGACGGGGCGGGTATTTCGAGCACTATTTCGAGCCAGTCATGTCACCTCGCGTGTCACATCTCAGCGCCCAATCTCTTAAAGCCCAGATCAGTTGGAGCCATCTGCGTCAATTTGTCGCCAAAGGCCAAAGAGACAATGTGAGTTTCAAGAGCATTGGGGGGTGAAAGAAGACGAAGAAGGCACTGGAGCAACAAGAAATAACAAGAAGCTACTAGTAGCAAGGACGCTAGTAGCTAGGGCGTCGCTACTAGTAATACTAGTATGGGGATGCATGGGGATTGTAGCCACAGCTTCCCAGGGACCACTTTGGACATATATTGACCAGGTTGAAGCAGGACAATATGGATGAGGGAGAATAGCGATGAGATAAATCGCGTCCACTATGCTCAAACTTTGGTCATTGGCAGATACTTCCCTGACTTCCCCAGACTTTCATCTCACAACCACCCAACGTTTTTCCTCTCTTTAGGCCGAGCAATGTACTGGAAGAACCCCTGGGCACAATTCCCAAGGTGTTTATCGAAGAATAGGTGTCAATCTGGCCTAGTCTGTGTTTTTTCTATCCAAAGATCCCGCCTACGTGGAGCCGCGCAGGCTTGAGCTTGAAGACCAAGGTGAAGGAGGGACTAGTACATGGTGTCCGTGCTGGCGCCCTTTTTGTGTGCTGGTGACTCTTGTTCTGGTTCTTGAACTTCGTCTTCGTCTTCGTTGTCTTATTCTTCTTTTTCTTTTTCTTTCATCATCATCATCATCATCATCTTCTTCTTCTTCTTCTTCTGGCAGCTGCGTGGCTTCTCCCTGCGCTGTGATCCGCAGGAGTCCTACAACCGTGGACAAGGCGTACCGCCCGACAAGTCGGGGCGCTCAATGGCTCGTGGGGAACGACCCTGAAAGTTCTGGGTGGTACAGGGGCTTTTTGTGGCACCCAAAACCTTCCAATTCATTTGAGACCTCTGGAGTTGTTGAAGTCCAAGGCTGGGTCGGTTTCTTGGGACTGGACGCTCTGTTTGGGCGTGCAGTTTTCAAGCCGCCTGTTTGTTGCATGAGTACCATAGGGCTGTTGGCTGTCCAGTTGACGGAGCAGTGACCAAGTGAGTGAGGATCCGGCCGTTGACGGAAGACCCCCCTCAAAGCCCCTATTGGAATGAGGCCGCTCCCGAGGGTTTTTCAAGATTTCTTCCTTTCAACAGCCGGCAGCTGCCACGGGCATCTTCATCTCCCCAGGTGCACTTTGGGCAACTCGTTTGGACCCGGTGTCCAGGAGGACAACAACAACCGCTGCTTGGCAGCACGGTGTCGTTCTTTTTCGAGGTGAGAGTACTTGGAGGCTCCCAAAGAGGGTTTGTGAGGAGAACATGAGATCACCATCCCACGATTTATGGCTTCCCAAGTGGGAGGCTTGTGAAAGCACAGCCGCAACATGATTATGACGTGAAAAAGCCACCAGCTTGAAGGAAGACACCTCTGTACTTGCTTAGAGCACACCTCCTTTTCCCGTTCGGTGGTTTTGTGGGAACTGCAAACGATGTTTGACTACAACCCCCCACCCTCGAGAAACGCTCCAAGGGAAGCAGACTTTTCTGGAGGCATCGACTTATCTCCTCACCCAGTCTGTCACTGTCAGGACCGCAAGGAGAGGCATCCCCTCTGCCTGACTCATCTTTCCTACATTCTAGATGAACAACAAACCCACGTGTCCAAGACTTCACATGATATTTGGGTATGTATATATCTATCAGAATAGGGAGCCCTCAAGGACCACCGGGAAGACCAAACACACACTTACCAAGAGCCCATAGGGAGGTCTCCCAAGGTCTCCCTATTTCAACACAAACCCATTTCGTCGTTACGGCCTTTTCATCTCCTCATGATCTTCACTCCATGAGCCACAAAGTCTTTGTGAGAGAAGACGGTTGTTGGGACTTCACCCTGCCGTGTGAAACGACTCCATCTTATGGTGTTTTTTTTGTTTATTGTTTTTTTTTTTTTTTTTAAATATATTTTTAAAATCATTATTGTCATTGTTAGTTCTTTCCGACTCGTTTCCACGTTTTGAGGAGACTTCACTCTGCTGATTGCATCCGACACCCAGCTGCCCTGGTGCAGTGGAGCCATCAAGGCGGTGGGCTCCAATTGAAGAACCTCGTTTCCGGACCCAATGCACTTTTTTTCTAAGCAAACATACATGCAGATGCAGATGGATCTGTAAATTGTCTTTGCTCACATGTCAAAAACATGTCGTTTGTACTTTCTCATGTCCTCCCCTCCACAAGCCCCCTTCCTCCGGCCAGAGCGATTGGCCCTGCGCCATCGAAGAGAACTATCGCCCCTGGGCTGAAGGGGGGAGCGATCCGCTCAACCAAAACCGCACTCGACAAGCTGCTAGAAGTGCTTGGGTCAACATGGGTCAACCCCAGCGCTTTATAACATATATATATATACTTAATTTCTTTTTCTGGGCACTACGCTCACCTTTTTGGAGGACTTGTCGTTTGTTTCTTTTTTTAACGGAAGGGATCTTTTTGGCTGAGGCCTCCCTTTCCTCCAGCATTGCTTGAAGAGACCACCTAGCCTTTCGTTTCGCACAAAGACTGCACTCCCACAACATTCAGGATTTTCTGGAGAGTGTCTTTGCCCCGACTGAAACGAAGAGAAGTACACTGAGTTGGCGGGCTGCCGCACTTGTTTGAGACGGGAGTATGCCCAAAAGTTTGATATAGAACTAGAACTTCAAAAAGAGATGGATTACACCAATAAAGGGAAACTGCTCAGCTCTACAAGTCTAGTTGCCACTTGGTCTTTAACCGCAACCTCTCCTCCTGAGCGCTGGCCTCGCAAGGGCTAAGGGGGGGACATCCTCCCTATGGATGAGCCGTGTTGGGACGCACGTGTCTCTGAGGCATGGTGCAGGCGATGCACCTGGTCGAGACTTTGCGCTGGGAGCAGGGCGACACGGACATGGTGCAGAAACCCATAGGCCATAGGCATGAAACATGCGCGTGTGGTGCGTGGGCATGGACCATGGTCCACATCAGCGAAACTCTTCCTTTCTGAAAACCCACCATCAAAGATCTCCGTCAATGTAGACTTCCTCTTTGGCCTCCTCCTGTCTAAGCTCCTCCATCAGAGATCCCTGTGAAAGTGGACTTCCTCCCTAGAATCCTCCGTCAGACAACTTGAAAATCGGCAATCCTCCACCAAAGATCTCTGTGAATGTAGACATCCTCCCCAGCATCCAGCATCAGGTTTTCTGAGAAAGTAGGCTTGGTATGGCTTGGTATCTAAAATCACCGACGAGAGATCTTTGTGAGAGTCGACCCCCCTGAGAATCCCCCATAAATCTCGAGGAAACTTATCCTTCCGCAGAGAGATCTCTGTGAAAAGCCAACTTGAAATCCTCCATCATGTAGATTTCCTATTCCTTTCCTCTCCAACATCAATCAGTAGAGATCTGAGGTCTTTGTGAAAGTAAACTCTCTAGGTTTATTCAGTGGAACCTCTGTTGAAACAGACCAAGTAGACTCCTAAGAAGACCTTTGTGAAAGTCCTCCCAGAATCCTCTGTCAGAGACCTCCATCAGACTCTATCAGAGATCTCAGCAGCCTTCCTCGCTGGAATGCCACATCAGGAATTTATGTGAAAAAGCAGAGTTCCTATAAAAAATCTCGGACTTTCTTCTCACGAATCTATGGAAACGTAGATACAATGTCTTGCAAAGTAGACGTTCTCCATCTGGAATTTTGTGATAATCGGAATACTCCATCAGAAGTCCCTGCAACTGTAGACTTCTTTTCTACTCCATCACAAACTTGTGTGAAAGTAAACTGCCTCGGCTTCCTCTCCAGGGGTCATCATCAGAGATCCCCGTGAGGGTGGACTTCCTTTTTGGACACCTGCATCAGAGATCTCACAATTTTGTCATGTTTAGCTACCACCATTCCAAAAGGTTGACCATAGCAACCACTCAAACGAGACCCATCAGAGCTTGTGGGTCGAGGGTGTTGAGGGGAACGACTCTTTAAAGGCTTGTGTACTTGCACGGGATCGTCAGGTTTGTCCAAGGCTCGACGAGCTTGTATACTTCGTTTGAGCTCGGCCCTTGCCAGTGCGTGCGCTAGGGCGCGTGAGCTTGTGGAGCTTTATATAATAGGTTAAGAATCCCACCTCACCCATCCTTACAACCATAGATGATAGGTGTACAAACAGACCTGGTAGCAAAAAAGACAAATTTAGAAACCCAAGAAACAATAAATGACAATCTTGAAGGCACCAATGATTTGGCGCCAGCCCTTGAAAACTACCGTAAACAATCCCAAGTAAAGAAGCATGTAGACTTGGCAACTCCAAATTTTGAAGACTCCATTCTGGAACTAAAATTGTCATTCGCAGGATATTTCGAAGCTAACATGGTCTAGGGAGCCCGGTTTGAAGTTAAAACTGTTTAAAACCGGAGTGCAACAGCAAGAGGTTTTTGATGCCAAGGTGCAGTAGTGGGTTTGGCTTACGGCCAACACAAGCCTGGAGGGAGGCTGATCCTTTCACAAAGCCACCCAGACATGAGCACGGGTTGGCAACATGTTACTGTAATAACTGAGATCGGCTTTGAGACTGGAAGGATTGGTCAAAAAGTTTGATGGGTGGTGGGCCTCGGCACACCAGGCGTGGCAATCACTGGAGACCTTACAGCGTACGCGCACGAGAGTCAAATCCAAGCGTACCGCAAGTGGCTGGGAGGGCCAATTGGGGGAGTGTGGTTTTGGCTTTATGAGTCACAGATCATGGGTTCGGACTTTTCTTGTAAAGTTGGAGTGAGTCGCTGTTCTCTTTGTTCAATCCAAATTTGATCATGACATGTTTTGAGCAAGGATTGCTGCAGGTCTTCGTGAATCTGACTGTGACTGGGGTCCCTGGAAAGAGAAAACAACAACACCTAGAGGCAAATCCCTGAGTCTATCTCCCTGGCCTCTTTTCAGGCAATCACTTAGATGTGCTGGGAGTGAGGATTTGGGAGACGCGAGAGGATGAGGATGCCAGCAAGACGCTGGGCCTGATAGCGACAGTTGCATGGAGGGGTGGAGTGATTTCGTCAGCTCTTCCAGAGTCACCAATTTGGAGACGGACTCATGTGCGCCCACAATGTTAAAGACTTAGTCACTTAGTTAAGGAGTCAAGGAGAGTGAGAGGGGGAGAGAGTCCCTGCTCTTGAGAATTCCGCTTTCTGGATGCATAAAACCCGGAACGCTCCCAGAGGTTCCAGGGCGTGACCTCTCCCTGGGTTTGCCAGCGAAATGGGAGGTCGTTGCCAGGCAACCCATTTTCATCCATTTTTTGGTGCTGACACGGCCATGAATTAGCGCAACCCAGATTCTGTGGGTGGTTTCCATCCGAGAGCTGAGTTTGCAGGCATCCTCGGATCATCACCGCAGTGCACTGAAGGCTACCCATGGAGCTTCCAATTCAGTACCGCCCTCTTCCCTTTGCATATTCATGTCAATCCTTCTGGAAATAATCAGAAAACACCTCTTACTTTTGTCAGACTTTTCCCAGGAACATCAAACTTCCGGTTTGGCCTGGCCTTGGCAACCACGACTACTCCAATAACTTGAATGCTTGCTGCCCGGCGCAACTTTGTCTTTGGGTGAGTTGTGTGTGTGTGTGTGGGCTTCCCTCGTAGTCGATAGGGGACCCCAAGCAGATCCCTGCCATGGGACTCCGAACATCTTTTTCAAACACTTTTTAAAGGCTGGCGGCGAGGTGGACGTTTACAGCAGCATTTTCACGTTCATCGACGTGTCTGCGGTGTACCCCATGGTACTATAAGAAGCTGCTGTTTGTTTTTTGGTGGTGCTGATTTCACCAATCAAGTTCTGGGCGCCAGATGTATACACCTGAGAAGCTGCCGAAACTGCACCAGGCTTCTTTTTGGATGAGGAGCTCACTTGGAGTGGCTATGGCGGCGTGCCGCTTGTCCAGCCTGGGTATACCAGATCCATCATGTCGCGAGAGGGCTTGGGTGGCTGGCTTGTTGATAAGACCCACGATGCATTTGATCATCTGCAAAATCCCAACAAATCATCCCATTCCGGTTTCCGCAAAACAAGATGTCTTTGAAGGACGCTTTTGGATGCTTGCAAATCCATGTGCGCAAATCCCCACAAGCCATCCACCAAGTCAGGATCTTTGAAGGATTACAGTGGATCAGAGGTCATCGTCAGATCAAAACAACTGGACCCCCACCGGCCCCAGGGCCAGCTGCGCGCAGCGGATGATTGCCTACATCCGCTCGGCGGTCTCCAAGTGTAGCGGGAGACGCGGGGGAGAGATGGGAATGGAGGCGGACCTTGGATGAAGTGACGTTTGCAGACGTTTGGGCCATCCTTAGGAGCTGCGACTGGTTCAAGAAACGTGACATGGACCCTCAAGTGCAGCTACAGTGGCAGCTACAGGCTCACAGGACGGTTCATCCAATCTACAGGTTTTGAATTGGGGCAAACCAGAGGTGGTAGTGTTGTGAGCAGGTGCATGAAGTGTCAACTCTTCACTTCAGTAGGCAAACACCAGAATACTCAACATGCAAAGTATCCCTGAGTATTGCCCATGTGCACCTCATACAGGAAGACGGTGGTGAACAACTTTGGCGGCTATGTGGACCACTATGACCACGACTCCGCTGGGTATGCAGCGTCTCAGCGGCTGAAAAGACAAAGAGACACAGGCTGAAGCCTCAAAAGAAAGGGGCTGGCGGCTGAAGCAGAAACAGATCATAAATACGTTTGAGTAGATGACTTAGTGACATGACATGCTTGTCACGAAAGCTAGCGAAGCTAGCTGGAGTTACTCTTGCGATAGCAAGGTTTCTTTCGACCGGGTGCAAATCCTAACCCCTGATTTTTCAGGTCGAAGACCCCCCCCCCCC